ACTACCCGCTTCTCTGAGTGCTACCATCCGAGTGGGTGTCCTCTCTCTGTACTTCCCTAACTCCACATATGCTCGAAAGAGAGTTGGAGGGGGAGGGAATAAGACTGAAGGAGACCACCGAAAGGGAGCCATGATATTAAAGTTGGCTCACCACAATTCACTATCCTGACATTGCTGGGTGACCTGCGTAAGCTATGAAGGTATTCCTTAAATAACATCCTAAATTACACAGAGATATTGGGTTTTCGGACTTTATCCATCGTCCTGGTTTTTAAGATAACTAAGAAAAACACGACTTTTCGGAAACTGGATCTGTTTCCGTTCTCAGGTGAGGTAAAACACCTATTCTGTTGGGTCCCTTAGAAAGAGCTAACCTCAATCACTGGAAAACCGATGTCAAAGTCAAAGTCAAAGTCATGTTAAAACTGACGGTCAGTCAGTCTGTCTGTCTTGGTGTCGAGCCCCCGCTGGGGCTCACAACCAGATGTTTTCTTCTTTGTGAAAGTTGCTGTCCTGTCCATTTGTGGCTCTTTCTCTGACGAGAGGTCGGGTCTGTCATTTTCAGTCAGTCTGTTTTAAGAAGTGCACTGTCTGTATTAACATAATTTACAAATTCACACTTATACCTTCAATGTACAATATATACAAGGCCTCTGTCAACCCAGGCATTGTACAGCAAATGATGCCCTATTTCTAGCAGTAATCGCTATCACGGCAGTCTTGTTACTTGAACGGTCGTATGCCTGACCGCCGCCAAGTTTAAGCCTCTTATACTTCCTGTGCCGGGCTTCGCCTTGTCCAATGTTGCGAACATTCTAATTATCATGATTTTGTATGACTTCTGCTTGTTGCCTGAATAATTTTGTTATGTAATCATATACGTATGTAATTTTGAATGCCATGTGCAATTCGCGGACCGGTGTGCGCCTTGAAAAATTGCCAATCGTGCGGATAACATTGTTTTGCAGGCGCTGCAATTTCACTAGATGGGTGTCTGCAGGAAACTCCAAGGCGGGACTAGCATAAGTCATTCCGGATCTAATAAGAGCTTTATGGAGGGTCAGTTTAATGTTAGCGCTCAATCGCTCCCTTTTAAATAGGGAATATACTCTAATGAATATTCTGAAGGCCTTAGCTTCGATCATTTCTATGTATAATCTCCATGTCACTCTCTTATCGAAGATTACACCTAGATATTTTTCACTATTTACAAATGGAATATTTTTTCCATTTAGAGTAAGATAAGACACAGGCGGTCGACGACCACGAGAGAAGTAGACCCCCTGAGTCTTATCTTCATTAATTTTGAAAGGTTTGTGGGAGATCGATCGATCATCGATTATCGAGTGACCATTCGGAATTGTCTGTTTGATTGGATTGAGGAGACGATGTTGGTGTCGAACGATTACGTGGTTCATTGCTGCTGGAGAGGAGTTATGATCACTCACTTACAGAAGGAGTTTCTTCGAGCTGTTTCGAGTGATCATAGAGTTGGAGTCTGTTCATCTGCAGCTTACTATCTGTAATAGTTAGAATAGTTCGCAAGAACTACACAGTGAGTGGTGTGTCTAGGACATCGGAGGTGGGGCCGTCCCGTCTGCAACGAACAATCAAGCAGACGAAATGACGAAACCGACCTTGTGCGAAACGTGGTGTACATCAATCGTGGCTTCCTTTGAGAGGAACCACGAAAATTTAAAAACTAATAACCCTGACCGCCAGGAGGAAATCGAACTGATAGGCAAAGGCTTGCAAACAATAGGGCAGCTTATCCAGACATCGCCCTCCATAAATGGAAACGGCGGAGTTTGGAGCAAAATCATAAAAAAATCCGAGTCTGAAAGAACAGTGCTATGTAAGCATCTCGACGGTAAGGCTCTATTTAAAGCCATGCTGCGCTTGTACGCTTCCATCCACAGGGAGTTGCAAGAGTCGCTCCTGCTGGAGCAGAAAGAAGAATCAGCTGAGGAATTTCGAGAACAAAGACAACGTGAACGAAACCTCTCAGAGGAGCAGACTAAAAGGCCAAAGCCGTCACCTAGCCCAAGGGAGCCCAGGATAAAATCCCGGGTTGAAGTGTCAACGAAAAAATTTTTGCGCCCCTCAGGACAGAAATGGACGTCGCGGAGGAGGCATCCGACAAAGAAGAGCAACCATCTTGCAGCAGGTTAGGTAGGCCTCCTCCCATTGTCCTAACCTCTGCAACTAACCTGATACAGTTACAGAGGAATATCAATGGCATTACTAATGGCAGTTTTTAATTCCTTAACACAAGAAGTGGGATCAGAATTCTCACAAAAGACATGGCGGACTTTTCAGCCATAAAGGAATTTCTTGAAGACAGCAATTTATCTTACTTTTCCTACTTTCCAAAATCAGAAAAACCCATCAAAGCTGTCATCCGTCACCTCCCCCAAAATACTCCAGCGAAAGATATCACTGACGGTCTGGTGAGTCTGGGATTTGACGTCATTAGCATCAAACAAATGACCAGTGGTCAGACTCCTCCAGAAGAAACAAATACCATCCATCTTCCCTTGTTCCTTGTTACACTTCCCAGAACGAGAAGTCCCAAGAAAACTTCCGACTGACCATCCTCTGCAACATTGCCATCCAGGTAGAGGCATACAAGGCACAAAACGGGCTCACACAGTGCTACAACTGCCAGCAGTCCGGCCACGTTTGGGCTAACAGCAAACAGCCCCCACGTTGTTTGTGGTGCGGAGGTGGCCACTTACATAAGGAGTACCCAGAGAAGGAGAACTCTGCCTCCACCCAAGTATGCTGCAACTGCCGATTGGCGGAGGGAGAAACGTCACATCTTCCAGGGCATTGGGAAGCAGCGCTATGAGCTCAGTAAACAGCTGCAAGACCTACACGTATATATGGCCCTGTTTTCAGAGACACATCTGAAACCTTATTTATTCAAAATTACCAATTTTATAGAATCGACAGCCAGTCGGGTAGAAAGGGCGGAACTGCCGTTGCAGTAAGAAAAGTCATTCCCCATAACCATGTAGGTCTACCACACCTTGTTTCAGTAGAAGCGACAGGGATCTGCATACCAATTGGTAATAGCGAAGTGCTGCTTGCAGTTGTTTAAAATCTCCAGGCAAAGCCTGGAGTGATGCTGACATAACTGAGCTCTTAAGCTTCAGACGAAAGTCTATTTTGGCAGGTGATTTGAATGCTAAGAACCCCTTTTGGAATAGCAGAGTTTCAAACCCCTCATGCTTGAATCGTATGGATTTATTTGATATGAGTGATTTCGAAATCTCAGCACCACAGTGCCCCACTCATTATTCGCCTGCGGAAAATGGTGACGTGTTAGACATTGTGGTTCACAAAAATATTAGAATGTCGGATGTCGTCGTCTCTGATATTTTGGACTCAGATCATCTACCAATAGTATTCCACATACTGGATCACGTTAAAATTAGGCACCTTTCGGAACCCATTGAAACATTTGCAGATTGGGAACGGTTTCAAAGCCTCGCTTCTCAATTAATATCAGCTAAACTAGAAATTAATTCGAGGGTAGAAGTCGATAAAGTGGCACGCGACTTTGCAGCCTCTATTTCTTCGGCATATAGGCTGTCGACAAGTAAAATTACACTTTCCGATATAAACAGCGATTTACCTGGTCTAGATCGTTTGATAAAATATAAACAGAAGCTACGAAAATTGTGGCAAGAAACCAGGCATCCAGCGTGTAAAACGGCAGTAAATTGGGTCACCAAATCAATCAGGCGAATGACCCGTAAAAAGGCACTTGAACGGTGGGAAACCAAAATAGGTAACGCTGAAGTCACACCTCAGAGTATATGGCCCATTGCGAAATCTCTTCTTAAGAGAGATGGACCAAGGCCACCAACTGCTATTCATGGTTCTTCTGGCCTTAATTTTCAACTTTCTGAAAAAGCCAACGAAATTGTCGACTGTTTGGAAATTCAGTTCACGCCACATGACCTGTACGATGAAAACAATGAAGAGCGGGTGGAGGCTAGAGTTCAAGCTCTGCTGGAAGCCGTGGATGAAAACCTCCCTCTAAGGATCAGACCATGTGACGTTCAGAAATTAATAAAATCCCTGAAATTAAAAAAGGCCTGTGGAATTGACGGCATGCCAAATGAATGCCTCAGGCACCTTCCAAGGAGACCATTGGTTCACCTAACTCACTTATTCANAAAATTGGAATTCCCCAACTCTTTGACCAAGCTTATTGGGTCCTTTCTCTCTAAACGTAAATTCAGGGTCTCTGTTGAAAGCGAAATAACAACGCCAAGGGAAATACAAGCAGGGGTGCCACAAGGTTCTGTCCTTTCCCCTACTCTCTTTAATTTGTATATAAATGATGCCCCCCATACACAGGACGTTCACCTGGCCCTCTTTGCAGACGACACCTGTCTGTATGCGACAGATCGCAAAGAGGGTTTTATTGTTAGAAAACTCCAATGCGCTCTCACCTCAATGGAGACGTGGTGTGAGCGCTGGAAAACAAATGTCACAAAACGCAAAGGTTATAAGCACCTGAGACCAGATTAAGTCAATGAGAGCTAATAAGAAATATATACATAACAAATTGTTCCAAACACATACAATCATGGGACCAGGATAGATAGAGCCGTAAAAATGTATATCACGAAAATAAACTATTAACATGGTCCATGACCCCACGGCATGGAATAGAAAGGAGAACTTGTAGAAAACTAATAGTGTCTAACTCTCGACAACAATGGAGTAAATCACGTCTACCTAATTTAGAAACTAATAGAAATCAATAAAAATATATATCACGTCATACAGATCTTCTATGTGAATTGGTGACTTCATTCTTAATAGTCTCCACGACAGAGCCTCCACCATATGCCAAGATCCACAAGATTTGGTCAAAGAAATTAACAACCTGAGACACGAACTTCAGTTGAACGGTTATCACAAAGGCTTCACTGACACGGTCATTAATTCCAAGGGCAGTAGTAGTCATCAGAAAGAGGAAAACCCTTTGTGTTCTGTATATATTCCATATGTGAAAGGTGTTTCTGAAAAGTTTAAACAGATAGGTAATCGATATATTATTAGGACCATCTTCCGTACGAAACACACTTAGGAATTCTCTTATGAAAACCAGACCGAAAAGAGATCCGCAACAGACGGCACAGTGCGTCTATAGCATTCCCTGTGAAGGTGGCAGAAGCCATATTGGCGAAATAGGCAGACCTCTGGCCGTGCGGCTCCGGGAACATAGGCATAACCTCAAAGAAGGTCTTCTAGAAAAATCTAAACTAACGCAACATGCCTAAGAAGAGGGACATAAGGTAAGGTGGGATGAAGCTACGATGTCGGATATTGAAAGCCATATCAGGTATAGGAAATACAAGGAAGCGGAACATATGGCATGTTCGTCCAATCCAATTAGCCAAACCAGTTAGGACTTTTCTCCCATTTGGATCCCCATTATTGTTTATAATGAGAGTGTGTACGTTTTGCGTATTAATTAGGGAATCATTAGGATCATTCGAGAGAAATTAAGTTTCCTCATATTTTTACAAATTATGGTGTTCGTGGTATCATTCCACAGTTGCAAATTCTAATTGGTATTCTGCTAAACTTCGCAACGCCCATTCTGAGGGTGATTTTACCAGTAGACTGCACATTTTTACTGTTTTATCCCCCTTCTCCCCTATTACACATTCCAATCCAACTTGTAACGGAAGTCGTCAGAGCTGGTGGTCTATATTGAACTGGTTGAAGTTGCAGGGCAACCGTTGCTGTTTCTGGGAAGTAACTCCGTGCAGTCTGGTAGCAAGTTACTCACGTTTTCGAAGCAAGAGGTTCTCTCAAAATGGGTGAACGAGCTGCCATCCAAACTGAGCAACAATCTGTTAAGAATACCCAACGTGTAATAAGACACCAAGCTTCAGTTATCTCTGCCGGCTTCATCTGTGAGAACAATGTAGTTTACGTTAGTGAGTGTTTGTTCACAATAATTAGTGTTTCCTTACAGACTTGGGCAAGTATTCAGAGCAAGGTACTGGTATACTTGTTAGAAATATGATGCTATATCACTAGGATTCATGTACGCGAATTCATTTGCCTCCCACAAAGCATTATGTGTGATAAAGGTTTCAAGGTTATGAAAGATTCTGCATTTGCTTGGAACAGAATTCTGCTACAGAGGGTTGAAGAAACATTTCCTGCTGTGACAGAAAGGATGGTGAGTGTTTTGTGCTTATGTGCACAAACAAGAATTTTATCATAATCAGTCAATTCTCATATCTTAGGAAACTAAACTTTTTATGCCAAGCTTGTGTTAGTGTTCATGATCCATCTGGCAAGTTTACATGGTTCTTCATATTGTAACACTTTGCATTATTATGTGGGAGAGGTACCAATTCAAGGAGAGTGATATGGGTATGTATGTAAGGGGTGGGCCATAAAGAACGGCCCCCGCACTACGACCTTCAAAGACTACTGTGCTTGCCCTTGGATTAACCGTTTATTAATCCTATACTTTAATAGAGTGTAGGACCCTGCTTATGGGGAATGTTATAATAGTCACAAGTGACAAAATCTTAAATAAGCTGTGGCCTCACAATCACACAAGATGTGTGCTGCTGATTCATTTTCTTCTAGGCACCTTTCACTGGTTGGGTTGTCTGTCAGTCCTAACTTGAAAAGGTGTCCTTTCAGGTGGTAGTGTCTGGTAAGTAATCTTACCACCCATCTTAAATGATCTCTGTTTAATCTCAACAGATCCTTCGTTCTTCTGGCAGAGGGTCCTGCTATAAAACCCTTAGCCTGTCTGAGTCCAGTTATGGATTCCTAGTATTTTTTATGATTTCTATCAGTCCTGATCGCTTTTTTTGGCAACCCCAATTCAGATGCTGCAAGCTCTGTTCAGGTCCTATGAACAGCTGTTCAGATCATGATATGTGTAGGTCATATAGGACGCATGTGAGAATGAGAAATGCATACAAAAATTTTGACAGAAGACCTGAAAGAATGAGACCACTTGGGAGACAATTGTGAAGATGGATTTTGTTAAAGATACAGTTGTGGGGTTTCGGGCTGAGTTTGTTTGTGTCTGGATGCAAAGTCATGATGAGCATGTGTTTACACAGTAATGAGTGCTTAGGTTCCATAAAGAGTAGATACGTATTGTCTGTACTTCCACAGGTTTCTCAGGTTTCTGCATTATGAGCTTAACACTTGCTAAGATTATGAAGTCTGTAGAGAAGAAATCTACAGAGCAGCTGTTATGGGTTACATGTAATGAGAAACAGCTACAACAAGGAGAGCGTATATTGTGTCATGTGTGGTGTTGTACAGCCGTGACTGATAGAAGATGTGATGCCTTTACAGAACTGTACAAATTCAGAGAAGGTTTTAGTGGCTCCCTATGGTGAGACATACCCATCAAGTAATGATGCAAGCCAGGCCATCAGTATAAAAGCTGAGGCAGTCTCAGATGCAGAAGAGGAAGTGGATTCTGTGCAAATAACATTTAAGGAGATAAAGGCTGAACCTGAATTGAGCTGTATGCTTCTGTATGTCCACTGTTAGGCAGATATCACAGATAGGCAGGAATTGCAGTTGTCTTTCTCATCTCCATCTGTCTGTCTGAGAGAAATTCTATAGCAGCAAAAATCCTTTGGGAGTCACAGAACTGTTTGCAGTTAGTTGCTGGCACACATCTTAGAAACAAGAATTTCAGTTACTAGGACTCTTGTAAGCTAATTACAATGAACCCCACAAGATATTTATCATGTGATGAACAGGTTTCAAGGTTACAAAAGATTCTGCATTCTCTTGCAACAGGAGTGGCAAGAATTGTACTTCAGAGAGCTGAAGAAAAGTTTCCTGCTGTAAGCGAAAGAATTGTGAGTTTTTCATGCTTGTGTGCACAGACATGAATTTTATTGTATTTCAGTTGTCTTGCCCAAAGAAACTATATATTGTAACGTGTCTTGCGTTACTGATCCCACTTCTGACACCAGTGTAACGTGTCGGGCGTATATCGCGACAAATAAGTTCACGCCGTATTTTATATAGCGAATTTTATTTCACACTCGCTCTTACAATCACCCAAATTACAGATTTACGATTACTGCTATCTGCAGTATCACAATTAGTACACTCCAAATGCCACAATACAACTGACTGGTTGCTGGCTAACTCGGAACTAATGTAGCTCGAGGACTCACTGACTGACTCAGTACAACTGACTGTGAATAGCCTTCGCTGCTCCCTATGTAGCCTCGATCGGACAATACGGCCACGTAATAGGCACCCTTGTTGCCTGGCGCTGTGTTGCTAGTAACGCTAGCGGAAGTAACCGCTGTTACTACGTGGTGACGTCATCGCTGTTGACTCGCGTTGCCTAGAGACCAGGATCCTAGGACTCGGCTAACATCGGCTCGCTTCGGCTTCGCTCGGCGCATCACGGCTGGCGGGGGGTGGGGGAGGGCTCATAGCTCAGCATGTCACACTGCTCCCTCCTTAAGGCTCTTCGTCCCGAATAGCCTAACAGTGCATCCCCGTTCCTTTGCTTCGGAGGCTGTTCTTGCAGTGTCTCCTGTTGTTTCGGCTTCTCTTCTTGCAGCGACTATTCTTCATCCGTTACATCCGCTCCCTTCTTAAGACAAAGCTCGTCTCGAGCGGTTTCCTTTCAGCTCGCCAGAAGATCCACTTGTGTCCAATTCATGCATCACTTTCATTCTATGGCACATTCACTCTCTCTGGGGAGGCCGGTTCTTCTATTTTGCCGGCTCCTCTTCTGTGCCCTGCGTCTTTTT